TTGAATCAGAGACATACATGTTTCATACTAAAAATCTAAATTGGTTTCCTATTCATATAAATTTCTTGTCTCCATCCCCACTTTTGTCAAATGAAAAGCTGTGGTCACTCTCTATGTAGCACAGGGTGTCTTAGATCTTGCAGTTCTCCTGGTGCAGCTTCCCAAGTAACTGGGATTACATGTCTATATAGTGAGATATAGGACAACATTGTCCATATAGAGAAACCCTGTCTTAATGAAACAACAAAAGAAGACAGCCAGCATGCAAGCAAGCAAAATATTTAGAAGTAAAGAAACAAGGAAGGTAAGGAAGCAAACTATATACAAAGAAAGACTGTGTGACAATAGGAAAAATGTGCTAGACCCTAGAACAATGAGCTTGAGTTGTGTCACATTTCCTGAAAAGGACAGCAGCAACTGAAGGCCAATCTATTTCTCGACAGGAGCCCCAAGAGTGCAGGAGTCCCATGTTATGGACAAGGCCCTGTGAGGGGAACTGGGAACAACTCCATTAGAGAATTACTGGGGGTACAAACTTCGGGTTCCAGGTTCCAGTTTCCGGGAGCTCTGGTATGCATTCTATTGCAGATGCTAGCTGATTTACTGTTGAATGGCATAGCCTCAGTGGATGATGTCCCTTAGTTTTGCATCTTTACAAAACTAAGCATTTTGAATTCCTCTCTGGGAAGGCGGGACTACATGAGGAGAGAAGGTTTGGAGGTAACTACTGAGAGGGCCAAGGGAGAGGTTTGGGAGAATAGTTTCTGCTATTCACCAGAGGACAGTAAGAAAGCAGCCAGGAAGATGTTGAATAAAGGAGAGACTCCAGTTTTGCACCATGGAAGTTAGAGCTCTCAAAAGAGGACAATATGCCGGTGTCTAGTCTTTTATCATCATTGGGTTGCTAGGAATATCCAAGTCCACTCTCCCCAACACAGGTTGGAACTCGTGGATTCTGTGATTTGAGACTGAGACATGCCAGGCCAGGATAAAATCCCTGTTAGTTTATATGCTCTCTAAGAAAGGAGCTTTCATACATCTGTCCAATTAAGAAATATGTCACTAAATGGACCCATAGTGTTTGTATCACATGGTGGCATGGTCTGCAGGATCTAAGGGCATAGAAGTTGGAGAGGTTGAGAGAGTCACTGAAGGAGAAGACATTTAATGTCAGGTAATTGGAGAGTTTTAAAACCAGGACTGACCTAGTCAAGATGGGAGAGCAAAGCTCCTCTGTTAATGGTGAGACATAGGTGGGGTCCCCTTGGTTGCCTAGCCCATGATCCATGTTCCCACTTGAAGGGACCAGCTCCCCTTTTGGCACCCATCATGGCCAAACACATGCTTGTCTGACCTTGTCCTAGTCACTAGAAAGTCAGATGCCTGCCTCGTGACAAGGAACCAATGA